TTTATGAATTCTACAAAAGATCTGATCAACATGGATTGCAATATGTTTTTGCAGAGACTGTGGCATTCTGGAATGTATACCAAATGTGTGTCCTTTCATGTGGCAAACACAAATTACAGCAGATTTCTGGTGCCTACAGGCAAGTTTTTATTTATTTGTTAACTGTGGTAAAGATTGCTACAAGTACAAACAAACTGTGGTAAAGATTGTGCTCCAAGTACAAACATGGGGCATTTTTTTTAAGAGTTTGTGCTTTTGTGTAATTGGCAACATTTATGAAAACTAAAATTAAGCCGGAGTGGAAACAAACTTGTAAAGGAACTAAAAGGTATTGGATCACCTAAAGTCATTTTGGGTTTCTCAAATGTCAAGGTTTTCATGTATACATTTATGCTTAGTTCCAGTTTGAAGTAAACAGATGGCAGACCCCCTAAGTCATAACATCAGATGAGAGAGAGTAAACACTTTGAAAGCACAATAAAAGCCCCTAAATTTGGCATTAGCTCCTCTGGTTAAAACTGTATATATATATATTAGTGAGATATGAAAGGTAAATGCGAAGATATATGGAGGCTCATTGAAGTAAAATATCTGAAGTAATTCTACAGGTTACATCAGACCCTCTCAAATCACTGCCTGCAAATATGAAGGAGGTAAGGTATCCAGGGATGAAAATATAGAAAGCCAAGACATGAACAAGTTTCTTGCAATTTTTTTTTTTTTTCAGATTTTGTGCTTAATAATTTATTGCTTAACAGCAGGAACAGGAATCTAGAGGAGCCTAATAATGCCTTCACTGTGCTGTCATTTCTTCTAAAATAAATCATACAATAAAATAAACGACTCATGCAGCTGATACCTCAAATTACATGAAAGCTATGTTCTTCAAACATTACTAAATCTGATTTTCCAAATTATTTCAGATTCAGTGGCCCCAGGGTATCTGGTGCCAAAGTCCTACTGATTCATAAGAGCTGGTAGCTTCTGAATCTCAAGTCAAGGCAGTAGAAGGAAGCTTGGGCTTGAGAGCAGTTGCTGGGATTGCCAGGGTGAACCTCAAATAGCCCTGATGCTTACAGTGCCTTGGCACAACATGTTTTATTCACCATATGGATAGGTCCAAAGTCTCCAGCTAGTCTCCCTGCCCTTGCAGTGATGTCAGAAAAAAAACTAGCACAGCATTTCCACACAAGGCTGATATTATTTGCTGCACAGGCAAATGGGATCCGGCTTCAGCTTGAGATGTCTGAGAATAGCTTCCTGTGGTAGTGTGGATGTCACAGAACTGTGATTCCCAGAACAACCTGGTGTTCTTGGGACTACATAGCCAAGGAAAGAGCAGACACAGCAAAAGTCACCTACCTGCTTCTTTAGGTCATCATGCAGACAGACTTTAAAGTAATGAAAAAAGTTGCTTAATTCCTTGCTGGCCCTGTACTCATCAACATCCCTGTACACATAGGCCAACTTGTCTTCTCCCCTTTAGTTCACCTTGGCTAATTCAGGTGGTTATTGGATTTCTTTGGATTCCTCAAGCTGTGCCTAACTTCCCCCACCTGTTGCAGAAAAACCCATATTCCCAACTCAAGCATTACCTCTCCTTAGACACAAAGCACAATGAGCTAGGTACTGCTATGGAAATACACATTTCAAGATACTTCATTCCCATTAACTGACCAAACCCTAAGGGCTTCAGCCAATTTTGAAAATAATGCATTGTAACTCGGGTCCCAACAGCACTTTTCCAGATGTTCTCACTGAGGTGACAGAATCATAGAATCACAGAACTGTAGGGGTTGGAAAGGACCTCCAGAGATCATCGAGTCCAACCCCCAACAGGGACTTGAAATATGAGGAAAAGATCCCCTCAAAGGAAAAATGAAGCCAACTGGTACATTTTGAAGTTTGTTTTCAGGAAAGTTTCAATGTGTATTCAGTTTTGCTTTATTTGCAGCACTGTACTTATAAATTGCCATTGTTCCTATTTTATTTTTTTTTGTCAAAGACACTCTCTGGAACAGTCTTCCTGAACAAAGTGTGCTGTTGCAGTGTCCTTTACTTTATTTTAGGTTGATTGGCAATTCACAAAGTGAACCCCAACCCTTCCATAAGCTGCCCATGTAGAGTTTCTTCTGGAACCGAAGTCAAACTCATGATCCCCAAATATTGAAATAAATAATAATAAAAAGGCATATCTTTTCACACGACTTTCCACTTCTCGTCTATTTCCTCCCTTGATATCTCTGCCATCACTTTAAACTAAGAGCTTGTCTCACTTACGGGCCTTTTCAATGCAGGTAGACACAGGCAAACCATAACAGGATTCCCTGACTGAGATCCACAGCTCATCAGCAGTCTACAACATGTTGAACACGACGTGGGGGAAACTACTATCTTTTGAATGCATGTCATGATATGACAAGCAGCAATGTTTATCCACTTAAAACAATGAAGGTCCCTCTGACCAAACTATGGATATCTGACCAAACCATGGATGTCTGGAGGACTAAGCAATGCTCAAAAAAAAAAAAAAAAAAAAAGATGGGGCAGTAATAGATTGAAAAGTGGTCCATGCCAGCAGTTTGGTCTAAACAAGAGCAGGATAGAAAAGCAGACTGTGCAAACTAGGATTGGTAAAATGCTATCTGCATTTTTTCTTGACTAAGATACTGCTAAGATTACTATTACTGACAAAAACTGAGAATCTAACTCATTTGTCTCTCTGTTCTTTATTCAGACTAAGGTATGCATGTCACCCTAAGAGACTTTTTCTGGCACTGGGAAACGTGAAAGTTGAGAACATAAAGATGGCAAAGACTGAGTGAGAGATGTATCAGGGGAACTGACCGAAGCAAGAATGCTCATTAATGTTCTAGTTGGTTAAGAAAACACAAAGACTGTCTTGGGAAAAAAATTATGGCAATTTATACCACGAGAGCACTATGCACTGAAATCAACTTTCAATACACACTGAAACTTACCAGAAATTTGTCTTCAATGTGCCCTGTTTTCTACTGAAGGATACAGGGGTTTTCCTTAGTCCTACTGTGACACTTCCTACCAAGCTAGCAGACTGCACAGCCTAAAGTCAGAGGACCTGGTGACAGATATCCATTAAAAATATCCACAGATGTAAGGCTTAAAATAAATAATTGCTTTCTTTAATGAACAGGATGACAACAACTGCTTCAGAAAACAACTAACCTCCTTTTCATGTTTTGAAATCTTCTTCCTTAACAAAAGTAGCTTCCTAAAAAAGAGCCTGTACTAAGAACTTGAAGGTCCAGATCATTTTCGAGCTGTGTAACAACCAAAGTGCAGTATCAAAAAGTTGTCTATAACTGGTGTCATTCTGAGGTACCATCCTGTAGTCCAGCATCGCAGGATGATACAAAGATGGTAAGTTAGACCTCCTCTTTCAGTTATACTAATAAAGTAAGTGCCTTGGTCAGTGATCCACCTGTGTACATGATGGAGGGGGATCAAAGAAGGTAGTGAAATTATTAAAAAGAGTCTGACAGGAGCTTCAAAGCCCACGTTCCTAGAGCATCTGTGGAGCTGTGACTGACCCATCAGGACACCAGCTCTGAACTCTTCTCAAGATATCATAGCTATCTAAAGCACTTGTCCATAACATTCCTTATACAAGCAAGAGAGCTACATTCCATTATAATACAACAGGCTTTTTTTTGTTTTATCTGAAGACAAGGTAGATCCAATGGCTGTCAATATACCACTCTATATGGACACATTTTCCATAATCTTCATTCAAAATGTTTCCACTGCCCATTATGAATTTACTGGTACTCATGAGGATCTAAGACACCATAATGAATCCCTGTTCTATTAACGCACTCCAGCTGTCACCTGAATTTCCACAGAGTTATAGTGGAGTCAGCAATACCACAAACACTGGCATCACATTGTCACTGCCTCCTTTAGAATCTTTTAAAGTGTCAGACTGCATGTAGTAATCTATTCAAACGGGTGTTTTGACAGAGAAATCTTGGGCAGCGTGTAGGAGAATGCAGCAGTAACCACACGTGAGCTAACCTGCCCTATCAACACAGCTCCAAAATTGAACGAAATAAGGGTTTTCTTTAAAGCTGGTTCTAGCTCTACCAAGTAGGAAACATTTATTTAGGTCAACTCCGGTGACTGTTGCTATTTCTTGTCACGTTAAAACGGTGTCAACTAATTCAAATATAGCGCCGAAGTTAATTACCGAAGTCTGATGCTTAACTACGTGTTAATTAGGACCGCGACCGAATCCCGGAGCTAAACGATCTGATTTCCACGCTCAGCTGTTGCATCAATCACACACTTCCACATCTCGGTGCCGTTTGCCTGCCTCCCGCCCCTCCGTGTGTGCAAGAACAACAAAAGGTTTCCACAAAAAGCAAGAGAACACTCCCGCACTTGGCATTACATGAGAAGAGGCAGCTCCCAGGCTCGGGACTGTCCGGGGGCCGCACACACGGAGGCGCGGCAGGTCGCGCACAGCGCAGCGCATCCTCGGGGCGCTCCGCGGGCGGGCGGCGCTGCGGGCGCTACGGGAGCCGGGTCCGCACGGTGCCGCCGCGGCCTGCCCTGCCCTGCCTGCTCTGCCCTGCCCTGCCTGCCCTGCCCCAGCGCCACGGCCGCGGTACCTGCGCTCGAGGCCGCAGAACGGCGCTCCGGCGGCGCCCACCGCACCGCGGCGTTCTTCGTTCCTCCCCCCCCCCCCTTTTTTTTTTTTTTTTTAACGGGGCGCTTTGTATTATCGTCTCCTTTTTCGCTTTCGGAAAAGGACCGGAACTCGCTCGGCTCAGCTGTCACCGCGTTTCCCAAAGTCAGCGAAACGACAAAGAACGAGCAAGGGCAAGAGGCAGGCGGCTCGCGCCGCGAGGTAACGGGAAGGGGGCTCCAGGCAAGCCGTCCCTGCCCTCCGCCGCCCCGGCCCTCCTCGCGCTGACGCTGCCCGCACGCACGGAGCCGCCCGCGGGCCGGGCCGCACTCACCAGGCGCGGCTGCGGACAGGTGTGCTCCAGCTCCTCCATGGCCCCGGGGCGCCGCTCATCAGAGGGGGCTTTCGGGATACCGGCTTCTGACTCAGCACCGCCGGCGAGCACTGGCATGGCCGGCTCCCGCCGCTCGCCGCTCCCCGCCGCCGCCGCCGCCCGGGCCCGCCCGGCGCGGGGCTCCGCCGTCACGCGGGTGCCCGCCCCGCTGGGGGTCTCCCCGCGAGCAGCCCGGGGGCACGGCCGCCTCGCGTCGCCATGGCAACCGGGAGGCCGCCGCGCCTCCCGCCCGCCTGGGGGAGCGCCGCGCTCATTTGCATGCGGCCTCCTGGTTGGCTGCCGCCCCGCGGCGCCACTGCGGGACCGGGCCGCTCGGCGGCTCCTCCCGCCTCGCACCATGCGGGGTGCGAGCACGGCCGGGGGAGAGCGGGGGGGAGCGGGACAGAGCTGCGAGAGGTGCGGTTTATTAATAAATGAAAATAGATACATATATACGTGTTTTTTTGTTTTTTGTTTTTTTAAGCAAAGCGAGGTCGCGGAGGCGCTCCTGAGGGGAGAGGCGCGCTGTCCCGTCCGCGGTGCTGAACGGACAGCTCCCGGCGGCCCCTAACGCCACGCTCCGACCGCCCCCCGCTGCGCAGCCCGCCGAGCCGCCGGCGGAGGCAGCCCCGCCTGGGAACGCCTGTTCGGGCTGCCGCCGGGTGGGTCTCTGTGGCTACGCGTCATCCGTTAGGGATACCGAAAGAAGTCAGGGGACGTTTCTGTAAAAACGTTGTGCTTTTGGTTGAGCTTCTCTGGGTAATGCTTTCGTATATTTCTGCTGCTCAAAATGAAGTCGTTTTACAGTGGAAGAAATTAATGTTCCTCCCAGAAAGGAGGATGAGAAGTGGACTGGCTTCTTCTCCCGGGTAAGTAACAGCAATAGGACAAGAGGTCATGGCTTCAGGCTGTGCCAACAGCTGTTCAAGTATAATATCTAGAAAAACTTCTCAGAAAGAGTGATGAAGTACTGGCCAGGTTGCCCTGGGAGGTGGTGGAGTCATCATCCCTGAAGTTGTTCAAGAATTATACAATCATAGAATCACCAAGATTAAAAAAGACCTCCAACGTCATCCAGTCCAACCATTCACTTACCATCAGTATTTCCCCACTAACCGTGTTCCTATGTACCACACAGTTCTTGAACACCTCCAGGGACAGTGACTCCTTCACCTCCCCAGACAGCCTGTGCCAGCCTCACCACTCTTTCAGAGAAGAGATTTTTCCTGATATCCAACTTGAACCCGCCCCTGGCACAACCTGAGGTCATTCCCTCTTATCCTATCAATGTTACGTGGGAGACAAGGCCAACCCCCACCTTGATACAACCTCTTTTCAGGTAGGTGTAGAAAATGATAAGGTCTCCCCTGTTCCTCCTCTTCTCCGGACTGAACAATCACAGTTCCTTCAACCGCTCCCCATAAGACTTGTGCTCCAGACCCCTCACCAGTTTCACTGCCCTTCTCTGGACACGCTCCAGGGCCTCCATGTCTTTCCTGTAGTGAGGGGCCCAGAACCGAGCACGGCACTAAGGTGTGGCCCCACCAGAGCTGAATACAGTCAGATGATCACTTCCCTGCTCCTGCTGGCATCAGTATTTCTGATAAAAGCCAGGATGCCATTCGCCTTCTTGGCTACTTGAGTACACTGTTGGCTCATGCTCAGCCAAGAATCAACCAACACCCCAGGTCCATTTCCTCCACAGTCTTCCAACCACTCTGCCCCAAGCCTGTATCATTGCCTGGGGTTGTTGTGTCTGAAGTGCAGGACCCAGCACTTGGCCTCGTTGTACTTCATCCCACTGGCCTCAGCCTAGTGATCCAGCCTGTCCAGATCCCTCTGTAGGGCCCTCCTACTCCCAAGCAGATCAACAAGCCTCCCAGCTTAGTGTCATCTGCAAACTCACTGAGTGTGCACTTAGTCCCCTTGTCCAGGTCACCAGTTAAGATACTGAACAGGACAGAGTCCAACCCCTGAGGAACAGCACTCATGACAAGTTGCCATCTGGATTTAACTCCATTCACCACCATTCTCCGGACCTGGCCCTCCAGCCAGTTCTTTTCCTATCAAAGAACGTAACCTGTCCAAGCTACAGCTGGCCAACTTCTCTAGGAGAATACTGTGGGAGACACTGTCAAAGGCTTTGCTCATGTCTAGGTAGACTACATTGACAGCCTTTCCCTCATCTGCCACATGAGTCATCCTATCATATAAGGAGATCAGATTGGTTAAGCAGGACCTGCCTTTCATGAACTCATGCTAGCTGCTCCTGATACCACACATGCCATGTGATCTCACTCAAGATGATCCGTTCTATAACCTACCCTGGCACCAAGATCAGGCTGACACCCTTGTAGTTCCCTAAATCCTCCTTATGAACCTTCTCATAGAAATGTGTGGATGTGGTACTGAGAGACATGGTTAATGAGTACGGTGGGGATGAGTTGACAGTAGATAATCTTAGAGGTCTTTTCCAATCTTAATGGTTTTGTGATTCTGTAATACATTTTCATTTTTCAGCCATAGCCTCTGCACAGCTCAATGGAGCACCTGGTTCATGCCTTTTTAGAACTTGAGAGCCCTGGCAGAGTAATATGAAGCTTTCACAACTTTCTAGAAGTGAGAGGATTGATCTTTCCTTTCCCCCTCATTTTCTTACAAAAAAAGTTCTGAAGGAGCATTACACTATTAGGATATTTGGGCAAATAGTGCTAGGACCTGAATAGATGGATCTCACATCCTTACAAATAAAGCAACTTTTAAAAGAAGAATGGAGAAAGAATGACGGGTAGGATGGTTCATGCATCTCATTTCTTGTATGTATGTAAGCAAATATCTCACATCAGGCTGAGGGTGGTCTTCTGAGGACTCTTCCGCCATTTCTTCAGAAATAACAGGGATATATACCACTACTTGTAATGACTGAGCTCTTGGCAACAACTGCTTGGGCGTGAGTAGACATCTAATGCATGAAAATCCTGTTTCCCAAATGCATAAATTGATGTTCTATGCAAACAACGCAAGAAACCATGATCCAATTCCCAAGACCTGAACCAAGTAGACAGCAAACAGGGAAAATTCTTAACAGCTAGCAAGCTTCCCCTTGAGATGTGATGGAACTTTTTGTATATGAAAGTTCTTTTTACAAAGGAACAATTAATTCTCCAAGTTTGAAATATAAATAAATAAATAAATAAATAAATGTCTAGTTGTTACATTTAATTCTCTTCCTGAGCTTCTCGTGCAGATGAATTCTATAAAGACAAGTATCGTGTGGTAGGTTCTTCTGCATTTCCAGGCTAAATCTCCTCTACCTTTTTTTTTTCATCTAGCCATTAAAATTATTAATATATTTTAGTGAAGCACTCATCAGAGCCCACAGATTTAACTAAATAAAGTTAAATTACTTGTAGACACCAGCACTTGTAAAACCTCCATCATGCTTTCGCCTATTATTCATGTTAAACTAGTTCTAGCACAGTAGCACTGATCACATAACACGGCTGAAATCTGAACATGGCCAATTCCATTAGAGAGGGTATTCTTTCTCTGTATTTGATGGATTAAAATGAGAAAGAACCACGTTTACATCAAGGTCACAATTGTGCTGTTTAATGCATACTAATTGCATTCTTGCCTTGTGGCAAAATCCCTAAAAGAGAAACCTCTATTTGGCAACTGGGAATAAACGTTTTAAAGAACCCATAACTGCTTGGGAAGGAAAATGACATGCATTTCACAATTAGTTAACAAAGAATGCTTTATACTGCTTTTAATTCTTAAGGAGAGATGTAGCCTGCTATCTTCAGCAGAGTGTAATGATAGACTTCAAAGCCATTTGCCAGCAGGTAATTTGGCTTAGATACCCTCAGCTGTCCAGAGCTGTTACTACTACAGAGAAGTCTGAAAATATTAAGCAGATTCTCCAGGCTGGGGACTGCAGTATTAATGAAAGACACCTGTGATTCTAATGTCCTTTGTAAAAACATGGACAGGAATGTATTGCAGACCTTTAGAAAATTATCAAATGTTTGAAGTGCCTCAGGGGATCTGAAGCACTAAGTAACACAGCAGAAGCTGTATTTAAAATGATCTGCACATAAGACAGGCTGAAGTAGTCTTCTGACTTATAAAAAAGGAAAAGAGATCCTCAGGTATTTTCTGTCCAGAAGTCAACAGGAGACTATGGAAAACTGGTGAGAGACGTGCTTAAACAGTGTTTGACTTTGAAGCCAACATTTAATCAAATAATCGCAGCGTAAGTTCTTGAATATTTAACGGTGAGCTGGTTTTTGCTTCAGTGTATATATTTTGGATCCTGAAGGCTTCAACGACTGTCAGCTATCCGACTTTGTAAGATGCAGGAATGCATTATGTTCAGAATAGTTACAATACTGTTTCTTTCTATCTACCCATCTATACCACAGTGACTCCAGGCTTGCTAGAATTAATAACCATTAACAACAATAAAACAGAAGAAAAAGATACCTTATTGCTATGATGATCAATTAAGAAAATGACAGATTTTTAGACTGAGATTAAAACCCCACAATGTGACATATTTTTTTTTTTAACACCCGCATGGGCAGAGAATGAAAGATATCCAGCACCAACACTCTCTTTGCTGCTTCCATGTACTGTTGCTTTAATTCACTTTTAGGGTGCAGTTCATCATTCCAGTGGAATGCACAGAGCTTACAAACTATCGCCTTTTTGTTAGAATAAATCCAAAATGTTTCTGATTTATAAGAGAGTCTTACAGAATTGTATATGGATTAAATCCATACTTCTTCATGTATGGTGACAGTCTGTAAATTACTAAAAGAAAAAACACAGGGTTTGGCGTAACATCATCTTATATCTGTCTCTCTGTAGCAGAGATGTGATTTTTAATAAGTACTATATTTTCAAAATACATATATAGAATCAAATTAGTCAGTCTTTCAATAATAATAATCATAAAATCATAGAATATACTGAGTCGGAAGGGATCCACAAGGATCATTAGGCCTAGCTGCTGGCTCCACACAAGACCACCAAAAATCCAAACCTTGTGACTGAAAGCCTTGTCCAAACACTCCTTGAACTCCAACCTGCCCTGTGCATCCCGTTCCATG